TTGACTTCTTGTCCTTCAGATGTTGACTCTGTGTCTCTGTCCTTCACATGTTGACTTTGTGTCTCTGTCCTTCACATGTTGACTTCTTGTCCTTCAGATGTTGACTCTGTGTCTCTGTCCTTCACATGTTGACTTTGTGTCTCTGTCCACCTCTGTCCTGCAGTCTACACTGTGTTTGCTGCTTTCGAGTACCTGGTGGTCTTCTCCAACATGGCCTTCCACATGACGATCTTCTGGGACTTTGGGAACATGGAGGTGATGGTGTCCACACTACCAGAGGACAAACGGTACTGAGCTCAGACCAGGAGGGACAGAGGGACATTAMACCTGGAGTAGGACACACTACTGGAAGACAAACGGTCCTGAGGTCTGATCAGATGGAGGGACAGAGGGACATTAAACCCAAAGTGGGACTAAAAGTCCCAGATTAATTTTTTATACGTTTCTGTGAGAACCTGGACCGACAGGACCTGGTCCAGAAACAGTTCTGCTTCAGACACTGAAGCAACAACAAGAGGAAACCAAACTAAAAGGATATAAAGGAGCTGAGCTTCAACCTGTGTCTCTGTAGACCTCTGGCTGATCTAAAGCTGTGTGTTAGTACAGCAGTTTGTATTGTTTTTAAGTCAACCACACATAATAAATTTATTATTAAACACTTCCTGTGTCAGACTCTGTGGGCTTACAGGTGAGCAGCAGGGGGCGCCGCTGCACACCACCAGGCCCTTTACCTGACGGTCTAGATCAATGGTCTGACCTGTTGAGTCTGCAGGATTTAAACTAGTTCGGATCCAGATCAACAGAACTGATCCGGATCTATTCTGACTGTAAACAGATTTGTTTTACCTGCATCAGTCTCACCTGAGGACACGCCCTTTTCCTCTACTTCCTGTGACCACTGTTTATAGTAACAGATGAAGGCCATCTTGAATCAGGTTGGTTAGCTTTGGAGGCCATCTTAAATCAGGTTGGTTAGCTTTGGAGGCCATCTTGAATCAGGTTGGTTAGCTTTGGAGGCCATCTTGAATCAGGTTTATTAGCTTTGGAGGCCATCTTGAATCAGGTTGGTTAGCTTTGGAGGCCATCTTGAATCAGGTTTATTAGCTTTGGAGGCCATCTTGAATCAGGTTTATTAGCTTTGGAGGCCATCTTGAATCAGGTTGGTTA